AGAAAATATTTCCAAAAAATCCCTGCTTCAAAAAAGGCAAGAAAAGAGGGATATATATATATATTTTTTAATAGCAATTGTAGAATTTAATGTATGTCTAGGAAAAGGTGGAGATAATACAAAGAAAGAATCAACATATAGTACTTTAACACTGAAGTGTAAAGTGTAAAAACTACTCACCATTCACATTACAATCAATAGTGACCTGTGATAACTCAGAAGGCTTTTTTTAAAAACTAACTCAAATTCTGAAGCACTGGACAGTCATCTCAAAATATTAAATGAAATAATAATTTGTTCTTTTTATGCAGAGGAATCGTCCGTTTGGAAACTGAACAGAGCCAACGTGGTAATTTGTATGCCTGAATCTGCTCACAGCTTGAAAATAATAGCCTGAAGGAGATGAACTCAACAGTACATTATATCCAGAGAATATATTCAGCTATGCTTATGAGAAACAAAATTCATCAGGAAGAGTCAACGAAGGTCCAAGTAGGTCAAATTATACACCCCAATAAACAAATTCTCAATTGCAAGCTTTTAAACAGTAGGGACTCAGGGGCCAGCCCAGTCTTTTTCCCCTTTATTTCCTGCAGCAAAAAGTAATGTTTCTCCACATTCCAGATGTTACTATAAGAATGAGTTAAGGGCTTCTGTCTTCTATAGATAATTACCCATAATCCCAAAAGACTACCTCTGTGCATTGCTTCACTTGAAAATTCAGATGCCCAGGCAATTTTCCTTTTTCCCCCAATATATTCACTTGTATTAAATGGCTACAGATGCACATAGGCTTGAAAGAAGTCATTGACCACTTTAAAATTGTTCCCTCCCTGAAATACTTTCGTAGTTTTAGAATTATTTTCTGCTCAGGAAAGAGTACCTTTGGAAGATTTCAATTAGAAATTCAACTCTGTTTTTAAGCACCCATTAAGGTATTTTATTTTCTGAAGCGTTACGTACTTGTAGGCCTCAGTGGTGTTAAAGCAGCAATATCAGATCCAAATGTGACCCACCTTTGAGACAGAAAAGTTATGTTGTGACTGCTCTGTTAGGAGTGCTGTCCAGACCTCACCATCTGCCACTGTCCAAGCTAGCTGCTACAGCACCTCTAGGCTATACAGCTGAATAGGAACAGGTAGCAAGACAGTCTCTTCTCCTATTACACTCCACAATCAAGAATCATCTGCCTGTCCTCTCACTCTTGAGAGCCCAAACACCCTTTCCTATAGAATTGCACAGCTCCAACAAATCTTGCTTACTTCTAGTGTGTATTAAACTACTGACAAGACAAGTACAAATGGAAAAGAGACCAAGCCATGGAAAGGTGTGGAATTTGGAATCAGAGGACTCTGAATAGGAAGACTAGACACTGGCTGGCATATATCATATACTTCAGTCCCAACATTTTAGTCTAAAGGTACTGGCAGCACTTAAGCTACTAGCCTATTACAGGACTAGCACTCCCACTATTGTGAAGCTGACTTTAGAATTAGCCCAAGATACGCCTGTAAAGACTATTTCTCAAGTGAATTACTAAACCAAGTACAATGAGGAACCAACCCAGTTCTCCACAGGTCTAAGTACAAATTATTTCAGAAATCTCTTAAGTTTCTGTGAGAATCAGTGACACCTCTTAAAGATTACATCACTCCTATGTTAAAAAAAATATTTTTTTGAAAGAAATGAGGCTTTGAGTCACCGAGTCACTGATAATAATGTTTCCAACACGAAATTCTGGATTTAAGGGAAGAAATACAAAGAATTTTCTGATGGAGGGTAACTAAAACTGATCGTAGGAGCTGGCTGGTTACCTCTTAAAAAAAGCAGGAAACACTGGGAAGAGAACAAAGTCTAGGGGCAGACAATGGAAGCCAGTTCAGCTGCTTGTGAAGCAAGGATTCACCTAGAGAGGCCTAGTCTCAGTTGCTTTATAAACCCTTCAGCTATCAGAAGTGTGATCCTGACAGTGTCAAAAGCATCACAGACCTGACGTACATTCAGGTTCATCCATGTTACATCTTCTGCACATGATATCTTGCCAGGGACTTCCAGTTCTAAATATGCTGTACATTTGTCTAACAGTAAGTGAAGCACCTCAGAATGTCAAAGCAAGGCTGAACAGACAGCTGCATGAACATTTTGCAGACATCCTCTTACAGGAAAGGTGAACAGAGGAAGGAATGAGATACCTTGTTTTAGTAGCAAAACTCTTCTGGGAATATGCCTAAATAGTATCAAACACTTAAATGACCTAACTTCTGTTTTTCACGGGTGTCTTTATCCTGGGTAAATATTGGATGAAAACTGACTGGGGCATCAGGGGAAATGTTTTGTATTCTAAGTCTATTCCTGTTCAGCTTCTTTCTGTCTGGATGCTAGAATGTTCCAACCTAATATTCCTTGTTCAGAAACAGCACAGCTGGCCAATTAGCTCTAATATTTGGTGAGAAGGGAATGGGGAAGTATACTACATGCTGTTAGGGCACAGTGACACTGATCACAACCATGCATATATAGCCCTGAGGATCTAGCCGTGGCTGTTCTGACACAGCTGGATAGTAAGAACATTTAAGCTGTCTGGAAATACACTACTATTTCTAACTTGGCACTGTCCAAGCAGCAGCCGCAGAGGAGCAGGGACACAAACTGTCTGTGAAAACCAACAAGCTACGGGATGAAGAGGATTATTTAGATGGCTCTTCCAATGCCAAGACACTAGAGATGGCCAGGGAACCTGTCTGTAATAGCACTCAGGTAGCTTTAGCTGAGGCAGAAGCACCTTCAGTTTATTGCAAGGTTCTGTCCTTTGTTATTTCCAGAGTTTCATATGTGACTACCCTAATTTTTTCTGTTCCTTTGGCTATGAGTTTTTTGAGGGGAGGAGGATGCACAAGGGAGGAGAAAGGTAGTTTGCAACTAAGCAGACCATGCTATTCTATTTTAAAATCTTTTTTTTATAGCATCCAACTCATTAGTGTCCTGAGTGGAGTTTTCAGACACTTAAAAATATGTGTGCATGTAAGTATGTATATGAGTGCATGTGTGTATGTATATATGTAAGTGGGTATAGTGACATTAATTAGCCTTAGTCAAGAGACTGAGAAAAGAAGAGAAAGAACCTGGACATATTTTATTTTGATTGCAGTAAACCAGTTTTGGGTTTTTTTTTAAATTTATTTAAATGGTTCCTTTATTCAAGAATGTAACAACTCCATTGTTTTTTATTTTCCTATTTTCTCAAGATTCCTTCTCTACACTCCCTCTAGTGTTCATCACTTGCCTCTACTCACCCCTGCTGTACTCACTTGGTGTTACACACTACATTGTTGTACATTTTCCTTAGCCTTTCCATAACCTACAGGAGGCTTGCTGAAAGTTAGACTAATTTTTCTGAGTATTTTTCTCCCTGCAATGATGGAAGAAATACAGATTAACAGACGAAAGAGAGAGTAAAGTGTAACATTACTTTTGAAACAGAATTTTGTACTTTGTTGGTAGGTTAGGAGGAGGACTTGGTGTTGAGAAAGGAGGAAGATTTTGTTTGCAACACTTTTAATGCAAGATTCATACGCAAAGGACAAGGACACCACTTACATGGATCTCTTCCTGCTACTCTCTCTAGCAAATACTCAAACTCCCTTCAACATATCCACATTGATTACTTCAAGCATATAAAAGCAGTGAGTGAATAAGAACTAGGTTCTCCTAGTCATCTCCCCATTTCATGGGATGCCCTGAAGAGACAGTCACAACAGGTAGTTTCTGTTTGTCTCATCGTTATGTTCCAATAAAAGAAAGAGAACATTAATATGTTCTTTAAAAAAAGGAAACAGAGGTAAGTAAATTCCCTCCAAAGCAGTATTTCCAAGCAACTTTTTGTTTCTCCTTCATAACTTTAGTTTTAGTATTTATTTTACTTCACCCATGGCCACAACTGAAGAATAGAAAAGACCTAAGCAAATGTGAAAATGAAGCAAAACTCTATTCCTAGGGTAGGTTTTTTTCCTAGGATATTTTTGTGTTAATTTAAAACTAAACCTTCTAGAAGCATTACAGACTCAAAACAAGACAAACACCCAAATATCAAAGTGAAGCTGATAAGATCCTCCCACCTTGCCCCATCTTCATGAAAGTAAAAATTTAAAACAGAAAGAAAGAAAGTTTTGCCAGTAGTCATCTGTCAGTTTCTATTCATTATATTGAATACTCAACATCACTTGTACTAAATGACAGATATTTGCTACACGCATTCTTGTTCTACAGATAATAAACCAACGAAAATATTTTAATTGGATTAAGAGAAACACAACAAGAAAAAGAATACAGATAAAAAGCTATTTCAGATCAACCCATGAAAATGAACCACTTTTATCTGCAAATTTGATGGTTTGTCACAAATGATACAGAAGTATCACAAGTGCTTAGTCACTGCGTAACAGAAAGTTCTGCTTCAAGTCAATGTTTCACGAGGATGTCAAATTAAAATTGGATGTTTATGACAATTTTGTTAGCATACCACTCATTCAATCCACTTTAAAAGGCAGAATCTTCTCATTATTCTTCCCCAAGACATCACAGTTGTCCCCACCTTTATATACTAAAAATATTGATTCTTTTCATTCTGTGCTTTTATACCGACATATTCATTGACATGCTTTGAAACATATAGAAAACATGGTTAGTCAATCTAATCAATTTCTTTTCAATGATTATTGTTGATTAAAAAAATAAAAGTACATTTGGAGGTCATAAATTTTAAAATCATGTTACTCATGTTTGTTTCCTTATTTTCTATGTAATTTACAACGTATAAGTATCTGCTAAAGTTCAGTCATCTTGAATTATTTACTTGTAACAAAAAAATCAAGTCCTGATTGTTACACTGAATTGGCACATTCCAGCAACAAAAATCAGATGCACAACTAGTGTTTCTACCACAACGGTTTTCTTGTTATATGCAGTAAGCCTGTATTAAATGCTTTATCATTCAGACTTACAGTGCTGTCAATATATGCTTCAGTCCACACTACATCATGCTCTTGGTCAATAACCTTTGGTCGGCTAAGAACATGCAGATATTCCATGACATTCTCTTGAACATCAGCTAAGGTAGAGATCTGAGTGAAAAATCCTGTGAAAACACACAATTCCAAGTTATAAACCAGAAAGAACAATTTAAGGAAGATTGCAACAGGGAGTGTGATGTGTTTTATGTCTGTCATGTTTTCTGCTTGTTTATTTCCAAAGAAGAAATGGGAAAAAAAGGAATATTTCATAAGAAGCAGCCTCAAACAGTAATAATTGATGAAAACAGAAGTCTGCACAATTTTTGGCCAATCTTAAAGGATTACCTTCCCAGTATTGCCATGAACCACTGCACTGTCTGTCCTAAACTCTCTGTTTCCAGAAAACTTTTGTTGTTTAATGGTAAAGAAGTTTGGGTTTTTTTCTTAAATGCTGCGTACTTTAAAAGTTAGAGCTTATATTAACTTTGTCCAACAAGGTCTCATCCAGTTTGTCCAGTTTCAAGAAACATTACAGATTAGACCTACAATAACAAAACAGTAGTTGCTCTAAAATGCTCATTATAGAAAGTGACTAAACATTAGATAACAGCAATATGTTATTTACAAATGACAGGTCACAGAAAATGTAGACTACAACTAGAATTACTTGGCTTAGTGATCACAGTTTTGTTAATCATTTAAAACATCTCCTGCAACCTGGCAGCACTGAGAACAGCAGAGGCCACAGCTATTTGAGCTGTCACCATTTCCTTTTCAATGCTTATATTTAAAGTATCTTTATACATCACAAACTTGGCATCTGGAGCCCACATCATCCAAGAGTGAGGAAGGACTGACAAATTTCAAGGCTATAGTTTCATCGAGCCTTATTTAAATGCATCACTTCCCCTTCACATGCTTTCCTTTTCTTTAATCAGAAAAGACCAATACAGAATTTTCATGAAAGAGGCCTTGCTACAATTTTAGTCTTTTGACAAGATCACAACTTCTGTGGAGCTGGAATATTAAGGTTCGGGAGAAAACATGGCAACTGCAAAGAACTTTTGAGTTGTGTTTATTGTACACAGGGTGAGATTGCAAGGGTGCTCTGTAGTCTGAATGTTACAATTTTCTGATTTAATACTGCCAATAATTCAAGCAGTACAGAATCAATGTTTCTACATACTTTTTATCTACGTATGAATTAAGACACAATGTAAGAACAGACTTTATAGCAGAGCTCTATAAAATGAAACGAGTCATAGTGGTAGCTTAATGCATATTTTCAATTATAAGAAAAAAGCAGAGGTGGTGGGGTTTTTTTGCAAAAACAATTTGATTATACTATGATCTCAAATATTCCTAGTATAGTATTCATACTGTTCAAATAAGTCGATATTCTCCTTAAGGATTTTTATTTATTTGATATTTAATTTTTCTCTATTAAGTCCAGTAGTGTGCGAGGACATTAACTGACTACTACATATACTGTCATGGTTTAACTCTTGCTTCAAAACAGAGCTATTTTTTGTCTAAGGTTCTGAAAGCTTTTTCAGCCATAGAGTAAAATGATTGATGTAAGTTTAATTAGGAAATCTGTACTTGAGAAAGCAGAATTCTGTGTATATGGTGAAAAAAAAAGAAAATTATAGTGTACTTTCATGAATTATTGGCTTAGAACACTTATGGGGAAAACCAATGTGTACGTTACTCTTTCTGAAACGCTGCCTGCTCCAATTTTGGGACTGCTGAGTCTCTCAAGTCAAAGTATGGGTTTCTCCCTCCTGTAACTAATAATACTTTAGTATCTGGTCTTTTTAATTTGGTGTAAATGTCAATACATAGTCAAAATAGGCCAATATGAGCTATTCACATAGAGACCCTCAGAAAATATATACAAATCTGTATGTATGTATATATAGACACTGTGGTTTATAACGCTTTTAATAAAGAATTCAAAATACTTCAGAACTGTGTGGATCCCTCATTTTACAGGTGATGACCTACATTTTCCTAAAGCCGTTCAGAGTGCCTGAATTTTGGTATGTCTCATTTCAGAAATCTTAAAAGATAGACAATAGGAACAGGAACACTGTTCACTAGAACAGGTTGCCCAGAGAAGCTGTGGCTGCCCCCTCCCTGGCAATGTTCAAGGCCAGGTTGGGTGGGGCTTTGAGCAACCTGGTCTAGTGGAAAGTGTCCCTGCCCATGGCCGGGGGGTTGGAAATAGATGTTCTTTAAGGTCCCTTCCAACCCAAACCATCCTATGAGTCTGACTATTCAGAGGCCATATTCAGCACTGTTCACATGTTTCAAGTTACATACTCAAAAGCACTGGCCACTCAGAAATTCAGAAAAATTTAACAGAAGCACAAATAGACTAATCAGCCTTTTGCTTTTCTTCCTCCATCTTAGACTAGTGTACATTGGCTGTAAGTGAGGACTAAAACACTAAAAGGAAAGAGTACAATTTCTTCAGGAAATTTAAAGCAGGGGACCTCCACATACGTTCATCTCTCCTTTTACCAAACAATGTCCCCATGGACAAGTTTTTAGTTGTCCTTAAAGAGCAGACCTAGTCACTGTTTTGTTTCAGTGTTTTTTTCATGCATTCTTACATCATCACTACAGTACTACTCGTGTTGAGCTCATGTACTTTTCAGTGCATGTTGTGCCGGTACTTGCACTTCTCTTACAACAGTGTGCAAAATTACAGTTGGAGCAGAGATCTGCTTGCACTGAGTAGTGTACAGTGAACAATATGATAACATCTGCACTTAAACTCTTTATATAAGTATATAAATATATATATATGTATATTAAACAATGCCTGAAAAGCCAGAGATTAACTACTTGAAAAAAAAAATTGTGTTGTATCTAAGGTAATAGAAAGGTCTTTTTTAATCAAGCAGTGTTTTCTTAACCATACAGGTTGAAATTACAACTAGTTAACACTTCATTAAAATCAAAACCTTAAAGACTTATTTAAAGACTCATTTAAGAAGCTGCTGGATGTCTATGCCTGGAAAATTCTTTAATCACACCCTATAAATTACCTTTGAGATAAAGAATACCTGGCTGTAAAATGATCACGCATTGTGATTGCCTCATGAAATGTTTTTATGTCAGTGTTGTGCCATACAGGTTTATGGCACACGTTACAAGACACTGATAACACTGACTTTTTTTTTCTTTTCTTGTTTTCCTTCATTTAGGAGAGATCCATCTGGACCAGGTATGACTGGACCAGACTAACATGAGCAGAGACACCTACTTGAGCAATTATTTGTAACTATTCTTCATATGGATGTGTATATTACATTAGATACTTCTCTTTGTAGAACTTCTGATAATGCATGCTGTCATATCACAGCTTACACAGAACTCTTCAGGCAGCATGCTACAAAGTATGTATTTCATGTTGTAGTACTTGCAAAATATCTCTCTAAACTGCACAAGATAGAAAACAGGTTCTAGCCTAATTTTCTAAAAGAGACAGTGAGTCTGAATCAGTTTCATATAAACTTAGCAAAGAAATAAATGTCTCAAAGACAAATGAAAGTTTGTGACTATCCCAAGGTTGAAAGAAGTGACATTGAGCATCCTATTTGGAAGCAGCCAGATGGTAAATCAGGATATGTATGTTGGCATGCCTATAGTTGCAGGCTAGCCATGCAGTGCTCCTTGCCCAGTGAGTATGACAGCTAAAGAAGTCAGAAAGCAAGTTGAAGAAAAAGTGGTTAGTGTGAAAAAAAATCTGGGTTTTAATCATATCTGCCTTTCACAGATTTATTCGTATATCAGGCTGCAACAGATGAAAAGTTACTTTATTCCTTATAATCAGGTTGCTTCAAATAAATTAATTTAGTGAAATGTAAAAATTGCTGCTAAAGCTATGTAAAAGATGAGACTTGGATAAGATGGTATCATAAGACACAACCATATGGATTCTCTCTAGGTTTTTTTATAATGTGATCTCAGGAGTGGGTTTCATTTGTAATTTCTGGGAAGAGTTCCTTTCTTACGTTGAAGATTTTGTCTGTTTAATCTCCTTATAAATATGGTTTGTGCTTTTGTAGATCATGTTGCAAAAATCTACAATGATTTTAGAGTTTCCATAACTCCCCTAATATGAATAATTACCTATCTTCTGTGAATTTATGGTTCATCTCTTTACTTTACTTTTACTGTTTCTACAAAGAGTTTTTTTCCTTAAGTTTTAGCTTTCTTTACAACAAAGTGAAAATAATTGCAAAAGCTACATGAATTATATTGCTTATATTTTTAATGTTTGTTCTCATATTTATTTTTGATCTTCTAACGGGAAATTCTACCAAAAGCTACTATAGTATAGCTAGGGACAGCATTAGGTAACATCTCTTAGTTCACTTTTACTGTATATTTAGACTTTTTGACGATTCACAAGTTTGTAGCTATGTGTAACATGCCAAACCTAACAAGAATTAACTTCCTACACTGCTAAATTTATCTCTCTTCTCTAGATATCAGAGGTACCCCATGGATTTAAAAACCTTACTCTTTCTATACCAAGGTTTAATCATCAGATAACGACATGCTCTGAAGTTCTTGAGCACAGCTGCTGAGGCCACGTAAGTAATAGAGGCAAAACCATGCTTACATTTTTGCATTCTAACACCTGCTTCTCAGCTCCCTGGTGTGTGAATTATGCCACCTTAAAGCCTCTTAGAGTCACCACTACATTTTTTTCCTCCCTAGCAGGAAAAAATTCATGAAGGAAATTGGTAAGATTTGGTAATGACAAGCGTAAGATATGTTTAATAATATGGTTAAAGACAGACACTTATGCTCTGCAAGTGGGCTGCTTTTCCATATTACACAGCCCTTGCAATGTTTTTGGATGGCTTGTTTTCCTCTAAAATGTCTACCATTAGACTCATAACTTTTCAAATTGCCTCCAATGGATTTTTACATGGAGTGCAGTACTTTCTGTTTTCTGGACACTGTGCAAAATAGATGCATTATTCTTGCAACTAATAAAATAACAGAATTTTAAAATCCTCTTTGGGCAGGGACTGGGGAGGGAATTCATTGTTTCTCTGCAGCTGTAGAACTCCCACAGAGAATACCCCTCCTGCCCCCTCACTTAAGAGGCCTCTCAAGCAGGTGAACAGTATCTGTAACTGGCTGCCTGCCACCCCCCACAAGAGCCCACAGTGCATGAGGTGCTGGGGTCATGTTAATAATGGGAATGGATGTGACTGGGGCTTCCTGTACACAGCTCTCCTCTGCTAATACAATACTCTATAAACTGCTACAGCTGGGGCACAATTTGCCTCAGGGCTGATCTCTCCTCTGCTGGCAGTTAGAGAGTCACTATCAGTCTTCCGATATGCAAAGTGTTTTTCTCTACATTGCTTTCTCAGCCTCTGCTCCTTTGTACTGATGAATCCTCTCCTTTGTCCGTTTTACAATATCACAAGCACAGTGGTGAGCCATAATAAAATTTTTTTAAAAAAAAGTAATTAAAATAGAGGCTGTCAAATTAATAATGCAACAGGGAATTTTACTGGGAAAAAAATGCTTAATCCTGGCTGCTTTGTTAGTCAGTAATGAATTAACTCCCATCTTTATCTTTACAGCTTCCTGCTGGAAGTGACTGCTGAGGGAAAGGTAGTGCCTACTTACTTTAAAATCTGGCACATGCACACTAAGCACTAGGAAACTTTTACCTTTGTTCACTTCAGAATCTTAGTAAATCTTTGTGCTTTTCCTTTATGTGCACTTGCTTATGATACAGAAGAGTAAATCACTGCAAATTTCACAAACTGCTCTAGAGGGACTTTGGGGTTCTTGCATGTTTTAATATATTTTAAGTGGTTCGGTGTTTTGCTTCAAGCCAACTCCCTTTAGATACGCCCTACTTACACATAAAAATGTAACAGAAAAACATGCTTAGGGTTTTTCAGAATCTAGAAGCTAAAGAAGTTTTGCAAGGTGGTATGAATTTCCCCTGTGACCCATTTTGAAGGAAAGGACTGCTGTCCACAGTCCAGTCAGCTGGAAACCCTGCAAACACCCTTCATCTATGCTGTGCTTCCAAGGGGAAAATCACTGCAAGGAAAATTGATTTTAGGGTCATTGACCCTCAGTGACAATACTTTGGTCCACCCATGCAAGTAGTAAACTGCAGTCCAGCCATTCAGCCAACCTTTAGACCAACTTTACTACACTCATCTGTTTGCTGTAATCCTTCATTTCACTAAAAGAAAATGGATGAGCTGTAGCTGAAAACTGCAAGAAAAACATCTAAATCCATACTGTCTGACATAATGACACGCTGTTTCCAATTGTGATTTTCAAAGCTACAAAAAAAAGTATTTAATTACTGATTAGACGTAGAAGATTTTTGCATTGTAAGCTATCAGAGAGTAGTTATTGTACCTATTAAATGGGGAGAAAAAATTTATAGAAGAAACGGTCATTAAGCTGTTTAGTTGATTCGTGTGAGTAAGATTCTTGCTCAAAGAAACATGGCTCTGAAAAGAACAAAGTAATCCTGAAGAATGACAAAGGTGACCACTTTACCCCTCTGGGAATAAGGAAGACGTGGACCAGATGATCTGCTGAGGCAGTGTGTATTGCCTGGTCCTAATTTCTGAGTTGCTATACTTAGATCTTTCTGAATCTGTAGAGCTGGGCTAAAAAGCTAAAAGGTTTTGTTGATTAAATTGTCTTCAAAAAAGATGCTTCAAAGGATTGTTATACTATTATTTAAACTAAATTATGGTGTAATATTAGCTGATTAAGACAAGACTTCAAACTGAGTAATTTCCATCAGCTGGACATAACAGTAGTTAAAGAAATAATGACTAAATGGATAGCACCTGATGCAATTCATCATAATATAATGTGGCACAACAGAAAAAAAGAACTACTTTTTTTTTTTTTTTTTTTCCCCAAGAGAAAAGGAAAAGGAAAACCTGAAGATTAATTAGGGTTTGGGGGTTTTCCTGAATCATTCTTACTTCACAGAATCACAGAATGTTAGGAGTTAGAAGGGACCTCAGAAGATCATCTAGTCCAACCCCCCTGCCAAAGCTCATATTAGTCAGTCCTTTTACTGTAACATCTCAGCGTCTCACACGTTTTATTACTCCTTGGTTAAAGAATATAAAACTGTTTTATCAATTATATTCTTGGTTGCTCAAGGGACAGGATGTCTGGTGCTTTACATACCATGCCTAACTCAACAGGACTTGTACCAAATATCCTTAGGGACCAAACTAACTCTGACTGAGTAATAACAGCTATAATAGAAAAAATTCTTTGAAATGAAAGTTTGTTCTCTGAGCAAAAAATTTAAGATCACATAGTTTAAAAGCTTCATACATATTTTAAGGAAAAAAACCATTTCAAATTGGTTTTTTGCTTTTTAAATTGTATGCTACAAGATAAATAAGCCTTTTCCTTTCCTGGAAAAAAACAACCCATCCTTTCTGATTATTTGACAGTGACAACATATCTGTAGAAGGGTCAGATGTGCAGGAAGGCTCAGTAATAGTTTTGAAAACAAGGCTTTCACAGTGGACATTAACTAACCTTTGTTAGCACAGGCCATCCACTTCAGGTTATCAGCAAAAGCAGCTTCTCTTCCAATCAGATAGGTAAAAATACGAACCTGAAAGTACAATGCAAAGGATCAAGTCAATTAACACTGTATTTGCAACTTACACAGTGGAACTTCAGATACAGAGGTGTAATTCATATACATAGGCCCTTTTTAAGAGAGTATTACTGGTTAAACAGCACAGTAGGTTGAAAAAAAAATCTCTGCCAATAATGTCTTCATGACAAAATGTGGCTTTTGTTCTATGTAACAAAATGGCTGATCTCTTTGGATGTTTTTAATATCTGACATTTAACTAAAGTTATGGTTAAATGGTTAAAGTGTAAGTGAGAATAAACTAAAATCATTGGGGTACAAGGCAAAACTGCATGTTTCAAACAAATTTCTTCTGCACTTATGAATCCAGAAAATTGCTATGGTATGGAGGAAGAGGCACTTAATTAGCAAATACTTCTGAAGATGAAGGATCTGAAACACTGACCAAGCAAATTCCCATCAGTTTTCGAGGTTCATATGACGCAGTATCTCTGTCAACTTAAGTACCCACAGGTGGCACTTGTGCTATCAAGTGATAAACAGCGGAATCGTGTGCAGCATTTCCAGACAGAAATATCTGTGCAAAAAGCTGTGCATGCACACAGACCTCTTTGTCCAGAAATACTGGAAAATTGCCACTTTCCTTAAAATTCTGACTAGATAAAATTACTTGGCAGAGAAGAAGGGCATACTTTGGAAATGTTGGATGGAGGGTAAGCCTTGATAGATGCTAAATGATAATACTTGTTTGTCTGGACTCCACAGTTCCATGTTATAATATTTATATCCAAAACCATGGGTTTGAGCAGCTTCAGACTGCTGCTATTTGGAAAGCAAAGGAAAATTTCCAGTGAAATATTTCTCTCTTTACTATACCGGTTTCTCAGTTCTTTCTTATCAAATAGAGATAGGTTCAGGGTTGTGTTATTTTACAAGCCTTAAAAACAGCTGCAAATTTGTCCTCACAGTAGACTGATGATAGCATTGTCTGCCTCATACCTTCTGCTCTCAACCTTATTCTATACATGAGAAACTACAGCAAAGATAATCAAGTGGGTTTTAGCTAGATAAACGGGGAGTAGGAAAGGAGCATGTTGTCCAGAGCTTCCTCTGCCTCCTTAATGCAAGTTTGCATGGCACTCACAGCCCTCTGTTCAGGTTGGGTCTGTAGTCACTCATATGTGTGTGCTGAGCAAAGAAATCACCATCCTGGGTCCTAGCATATTCTGTCTAGAAGTCCCGCACAGTTCCATACCTTCATCTACCATCTGATGTAGCTGGGTAAGATGGATCATAGTGAGCCTCACTTGATCCAATTAAGCTCCCAGCAAGAGAATTGGGAATAGCACCTGACAGCTACAGCCCATATTCTGCCCACTATAGCCCTTGCCACGCTAAGGCTTATGCCTCTCATTTCATGTGCCTAAACTTATGCAACCATTTTCCCATTCCCTAATGATTTGTCCAGGCAAAAGAGGCCATGTGCATACCGGGCCATATTAGCAAGAGAAATACAAGGTGATTATTCCCCTCTATTTAATTTTAAGACCACATCTGGATCACTGAGCTCGGTTTTGGATTCCCCCATACAAGACAGAGACTGACATACTGGAAAAGACAGGCTGTTCTTGAAGGTGGACTCTAAGAGGACAACACAGCAAGGGACAACAGTCAGAAGAAGGTCCTAAACAATTCTGAGTCAATAAACATTTTTTTCATGAGGGTGATAAAAATATTAGAAAACATTGCCCAGAGATGCTGCAGAACCTGCATCCTGGAAGATGTTCAAAATCTGACGGGGGAAGTTCCTGAGCAGTCTGATCTAACTTTGCCTACTCTGAACAGGGGGTTCAACAAAATGATCTTCAGAGATCCTTTCCAATCTAAATGATTCTATGAAATTAGCAATATTTTACACAAGAGATTAAAAATTTCACTGATTTCTAATGAAATAACTTCTGCATCTTGTGAATTTTGAAGATAAAACAAATTAGATTAGGATTGGAAATTGACAATTTGTAGCTGCAAATATGGTGCTATCATTATGTATGAGAAGAAAGAACATTATGAACTCCATATTGTAACACAAAAAATTGTAACTAAACTCCACATCAGATCCTTTTATCTTTTTATCAGTATAATTAATAGAATCTTCATTATCCAATCTTTTTTACAGAAACTGTATTATCATCATTAAAAAGCTATACATAACAAAATATGCTCCAAAACATTTTCTTCAATAGCTAATTCTGCCTCACATTCACAAAATAAACTCACTTAAATGATACAGAATGCTAATTACACAGAAAGAAATGTCACGATGTGAGAAGTTTATAAAGACCTCTAATTTAATTTAATTTGCAATTAGAAATACTCAAAGAATTAAATTTCTTATTTTTTTTTCAATTAACACCTTTTTGTTACTCACAGTAAGACAAAATAAATTATTTGTAGAACATACCAAATTAATATAAAGTTTCCATAGGCTTTCTTCACAGGATAAGTTTTAAAATGTCTTTGAAATTTTCCCTCTTTACTGTCAGTTGTGATACTATATTCTCTCACTGCCCTGTTGTCTGTTTTATTAATGTCCAGATCCTGTTTCTAGGCATGCATGTTTTGTATTATTATCATGCCTAGAGACCAGATTTCAATTGCAAAACTTTTCCTAGTCTTTCAAATTTAAAATGTACATAGAACTCAATCATGATTTATATGGTTCAAAAAGTATAGATACTGATCCTGTAGTGTTGTTAATTAGTTTGAATTAAACACTATGCATAATCCTACTCTTAAGATGCTGAAGAGCACAGCATTAAACCAAATAATGGTACTTGTATGTTCTGTTGATGGCTATGAAAAGCATTAATAAAGAAAATCTTTATTCTCTAAACACATGTGAAAGGGCACAGTGGGATTTATACACTCAAAATACAGCATAAAACACAATCACAGTTTATCTTCCTGAAAACGATGCTCGAATATATCCTGTGATGAGACTGAATCCATCTGAGAATTTATATACAATGATCTCTTTAATCTATAAAGAATCAAACTACACCGTGTTCCTGATAAAAGGAGACCAGCCTTTTGTAAAAGCGTGAGCAGTAAGTATTACAATAGCTGTAGGCAGCAAACAAACTATGTTAAACCTACAAAAAATAAAATTTCAACAAGTTGGTGTCCTAGATCATCATGAGGAATGAGCTGCGTCTGTGATATGGTTGCAAGGACTTTAATGATTTTTCTCTGAGTACTTTTTATACCTCTAGATTACTTGGTATCTGCAGTTTCGCTATTATTATATTTTAAGCATCACAAAAAAAATACTGCTACTTCTTTAGCATTACTTGAAAAAATAAAAATAAATTCTTTAAAAAGTAGATAGCTAGCACTGAAGATGAGTGATCAGAGTTTAAGTGCTGCTTTCCTTCCCTATCCCAGAGTTGTATATTCTTCCCTATGCACTTTTCACTGTGTGCATTACATAAATGGTGTTTACCAGTGACAACGTGAAGTGTAAAACCTTTTATAAACTGAAATATAAGGTAAACTATAATTTTAAAATACCATTTCTATACTGCTCATTACTTAATAGAAAGACTTATTATTTATAGTAACTTCATAAGAAAATAACCATGTAAGGTCACAGGAAGGTATTTTGGTTAAAAATAGCGTCACTGATACATTGAAGTTTTTCTTTTCCACTGACCTTAAAGATTTTTCAATAGGTATTATGAATATTGTTTAATACACTGTTCAGAATAGCAAGAAAAATCCTCAGAATCAGCTCTAATGGCAAATAATTCTGATCATAGCTCTACTTCTAAAAGTTTAATTTGATCAGTTCATTGAATCCACCAGTGTAAACTTTATTCACTGTGAGCTTGCAGCGGTAAACACTCATGAGTGCCTAACCATTCACTGTAGAGGTAATTTTACAAAATAAATGCTTGCCATATTTCTTTCTGCTTTCAGAGGTCGCAGCAATGATTTAGGTAATAAATGATTAGAACTGAAACTTGCCTGAATAAGTTTTAAATCCCATTTTTCAAAACAAAGTTGGATCTACATACATTTCATACTAGTTTTACTCTTCTGGTTTAGTATTTTATGTAATAATTCTAGATGTGCCAGTACCATCCATTGTATAAGACAAACAAACAGGAAAAAAGATACTGTGGTCATATACCTGTTCTGCATCTATATAAAAATATAATTAAGTCAATATTACAGAAGTACTACATTCCTTTAGCAGGACAAGTTCAAATTACTTCAACTCCCGTACGTCGGCCAGGTATGCTGCAAAACAGGACACACTGCATCATAGTTACCACTGAATTTGTCATTGTAAATTGCCTAGACATTAGGTATCAGATTTAATATCCATCCATATTCTCAGATACTATGTAAGATAAATGTTGTTAGGTAAAAACTGTTAATAGTGACCACCAAATTTTCTTCTTTGTATAACTGAATGGAAAGTGTGTCAGAGCAATTCAACCTTGCAAAATGATTGCATTAAACATTTATCTTATTCAAACAATCCAGATATAGCACTAATATTGTATAGTCTACTGAAAAATATATATAGTACTGAGGCATATGATTGAAATCTCTGTAATTTATAATAGCTGAGGAAGTATAAGATGTGTCTTATTCTGCAATTTGCATTGGACCTTAAAGAAAATAACACAATAGGGACGATGAACTTTAATAAGTATATACATATGTAGATGCATATACACTCATACACATATATCAGTGTCTTATGGTACAACACATTTAATGTTAGGACCCTAAAAATTCTTTCAAATCCACATGAAGAGAACATTTTAGTCAAGGCAGACTGAATAAATTCAAAGTTGTTGTGGGCCAGTCCCAGAAGATCCAGTAACAACATTTACATAGTCTACATATGCTCTGCCTAACTGAGCATAATCCAAATGAGAAAAACGTCTTTCAAAATCCAAGTGCTGTGACTGAATCAAGAGACCGTTTTCATCTGAGAAGGA